TGCCAACAACTTCACAGCCCCTCATTCTTCTCCTCTGCATCAAGGGGTGGGGCATCAGGGAAACTCAGTGAGGTGGCTAAATGGGGAGGGGACTGTGGAATGTGGCTCCTGAATACGGACTGAACTGAAGTCATCCACAGAGAATCCAGGTGAGAGCAGACACCCGATGAGACTGGGAGACGGTCACTCGCCAGCCATGTGGGTGGGACCTGTGAGTGAGCCAATGAGAGACTGGTCCCAGGGAAGTAGGACAGCACGGCTTGGCAGAGGTGAGATTCCATGTGGGGAGGAGGGTAATGTAGGCAGATGGCAGGAAGCCGGGCAGGGTTGGGAGAGGTCAGAGGGAGATGGGAAGGTACTTATTAAATGTCCCCATGTCGGGGAACCCTTTGGGTCCATCTGGCAGCTGGGTGGGGAATAGATTGTGCAGAGCCAGGAGGTAGACAGCAGCCCTGCTGAGTGACATGCTCCCAGCATAGACAACCTGGTGCTGATGGAAGTGGGGTCAGCCAGGTGTGCCAAGGAAGAAGAAAAAGGGGCCCAAAGGAAAGGGTGTCAGTTTGGCATTTCAGAGCTGTCCTGGCACTGTAGGGTGGTCACCCAAACGGGGTATGAATACTGAAGTTCAGCTGGTGTCCAGCAGGGCCGAGGTCACCATGACAGCCTGGATATTGGAGTCAAGGCAGATAAATCCTGGCCAGAAACTGAACGCTGCAGGTGAACCCAGATATTTGGGGAAAGTCAAAACAAATCCTGGTGGCGGCAGTGATGAAGAGTTTTAGAAGGTGTGTACACTTGTCAAGGAGGTAGCCACTGGCTGTCTGCCACATCTGCTTTTGGAATGCAATCCATTTTATTTCTGTCCCCATTTTGCATAAAGGTCAGACATGGTGACTCAGAGCAGAGAAGCAAGTGACAGAAGTCACCAGCCACAGCACAGCTGGGACAGGAGTTGAGTTTTCTCATCTCCCAGTTCAGTGCTCTGCTCCTAAACTACAGCTTTTTACACTTTTCACATGAAAATTAGCCCTTGGTTGACACTGTGGATTTAAATTTATGAAGACCTACCTTGATTATTAATCCTTTGGGGGTTCAGAGAAACTTTGGGAATGAAATGTGATCTTGCATGGACGTGCCACACTGCTGGGTTCCTTCTGGATCCATTGATGATTTCAGTGGTCTCTCGAGAGGGCAGTGTTTGACATTCTTAAGGATCAGTTCAAAAAGAAAAACAGAAACAAATAGTTTCTACAATGATTTAATTCTAAATGATGTAAAAAGCGAGGGAAATCGGGCTGAGTTCTTGTTGTCCAAAGAAGGACCAGCCTACAGAATGGAGAAGCACATCAGTTGCTTCAGAATGGTTGGTTGATGGATTTGAAGATTTCTAGGTCTGTCTGAAATCAGCCAGGTAGAAGGCTTTGTCTGTGGCTTTGTGATGAGCTTAGGGAAGAGATCAATGGAATTTTCAAGACCTTGCTCAAGGAGTCTAGTTTTGCATTTATCTATCAGTGATTGTCCCAGTATAAAAATTTTTGAAAACAACTAAATACACACCAGTCCTACCCAACCTCTGTTCATCGGATTGACCATACAGTGATGGTGACAGGGTGGGGATCTCTGGATGACTTCTCACTGCTGAGGGCGCAGTTTTCCTTAACCAGGGACCGGACCCCAAGACACCAGCGGGGGTTGCATCAACTTCACTTGACTCAGGATACGTGGGCTCACATAAGTGAGGTGTTTACTTCAGGTTTGCAAACAGACCATAGTCAGATGGTCTGTCATTGATTTCAATGGTCCCTGCACTTCCTTCCAAGAATGAGGTCCTATCACCCACTAGCTGCCCTGAGTGGTGCTGCCACCACTGGCTCCCTCCCCCAGTACCACCAGGCTAAGGACGAGGTGGCAAAGGAATCAGGGTTTTCTTTATTCCTGGCTGTTCAAGTAGGGCACATTCATCGTAGTAAATGGTAGCTATAAAAAAACAGGAAAGAGTATCACCACTGTCACATATTGAAGTTTTCCTTTTCATCTCTTCCTTGCATGTATTCTGTGTAATCGTGACTATACAATATGTCTTCCCTCTTAATGTTATAAAGAAAGCATTTTCCCATATTTAAATATTCATAAACAACAGTTTAATCACTGTGGTTTTTCCACAATTTATTTAATTATTTGTTTCTCACTGGCCACAGAACCAGTTTCTGACTTTTCACAATTATAAATAAACTATACAGCATATCTTGGTGTACCTACTGTCTCCCTATTCTAAGTTCTGGTTTAGAATTGATTGATTCCTGGAAGTCAATGTACTGAAGTATAAAGACACAGACATTTTTCTCACCTTTCCACAGAGCATCATGTGTATGGCTGCACATGAACTCTAAGGTCACTGTGTGATCACTGACCAGCTGCTCTGAGTTGGCAGTGAACAGTGTCGCCCAAAGACCTGCTTGGATTTTTTCTCTATATGTATGTACATACTGTTGCTCAAAGGGGGGCACATATAGCTCCCATTTTAAACATCTTCTTGGAAGAACTGTGGGTTTAGTATAGTTGCTCAGCCCTCAGCTTAACCCTGGTATTTTTTAGCCCAGGAGAAGGCTCTCCTGGTTCTTCCAGCACTGTGCACAGGACTATGTATAAATTTAGAAGCTGAAATCCAGACTGAAATAGGTGTATGATGTTGAACAGCTTAATATTATATAGCAGACAATTTGGACTCACCCAGAGAGAGGGTCTGGCTTTTGTGTTCAGCTTCTGGGGGGGCATCTGTATCGTACCAGATGGGAGTGTCTTTGTTTAGGGTGGCAGTGGCCATATCCAACCATCTTGGGATGGAGGCTAGGCACACCTGAAAGACCAGCTATATAATGTAGAGTGGGCCTTCAAGTTACTTGGTATCAGTACATCCATCAATCATGCCTGTGTGACAGACCCCCAGTAAAAACTCTGAACACGAGGACTGCGCTTCCCCGGTGGGCAGTGCTCTGGGCCTGTTGTCACACAGCAATGTGGGAGGGGAGCAGATCCAAGCTCTGTGGGGAGCAGAAGCAGAAACTCACTTTGGCTAGTACCTTTCTGGACCCTGTGCTCTCTTTTCTTGACTGATATGAGTCTGTGTTTCTCTGTAATAAACCATAAACATGAGTGGGGGGGCACATAACATTAATAAGGGTACCTGCCGGGTATGGTGGCTCACGCCTATAATCACAGCACTTTGGGAGGATGAGATGAGAGGATTGCCTGAGCCCAGGGGGTCAAGACCAGCCTAGACAACTTGGCAAGACCTTGTCTTTACAATAAATAAATACAAATTAGCCGGGCATGGTGGCCCACGCCTGTAGTCCCAGCTACTTGGAAGACTGGTGGAAAGATGGCCTGAGCCCAGCAGGTCAAGGCTGCAGTAGCCATGAGTGTGCCACTGGGCAACAGAGTGAGACTCTCACTTAAAAAAAAAAAAAAAGAAGAGTACCTGATACCAAACCAGGTGAAGTGAGGACCAGTGGGAGGCCCAATTTTTACCTGTACAGTAACCACTTAATGTACTAGACCCTGAATTGTACCTCACATCTTTAAAATAAAAATTAGTAATCAGTTAAATCTTGTAAATAGAGGAATCATACTCATGTCTGAGAACCAAATTTTCTTTGAACATTTTCCTTTTGGGAGGAAAAAAAATTTCTGTCAGATATAATTAAACTTGTTACCTAGTAGATAAACTTTAGCTTACTATGAGGGGTGGCTCATAACACTAATATGGGTACCTGATCTCAAACCAGGCAAAGTGGGGACAAAAGGTAGACCCAAACTTTACCTGTATGATGACCTCTTGTATACCTCATCCTGAACTGTACCCCACATCTTTAAAATAAAATAAATTAAAAATAAATAAATAAAAACTAAATTTTTTTTTTTTTTTGAGTTGGAGACTCACTCTGTCGCCTAGACTGGAGTGCAGTGGCCGCTCTCTGCCACCGCAGCCTCGACTGCTGAGCTCCAGCGATCCTTCCGCCTCAGCCTTCCCAGTAGCTGGAACTACAGGCGCGCGCTACCACGCCCGGCTGATTTTTGGATTTATTGTAGAGATGAGGGCTTGCCAAGTTGCCCAGGCGGGTCTCGAACTCGCGGGCTCAGGCAATCCACTCACCTCAGCCTCCCAAAGGCGCGGGATTATAGGCTGAGCCACTGAGCCCGGCTAAAAAAACTAAAACTTTAAAAAGAAATTAAGCTTACTGTAGAGCAGAAAGAAACATGCCTCACCTTAGGGCTTCCCACTTGATATTGCCTCTGCCTGGCAGGTTTCCTATCAGCTGTGGACACAGCTGCACCCTCACTCTTGCAGGTGCAGGTCTGCTCCAGAGTCATCCAGCAAGGGCTTTTCCTTGCTGCCTCTGTAGATGGCAGCGTCCTCATTGTTTCCATCCTGTAGTATTTGTCTCTACATCATGTGCTACCACCTGACATGATACGCTTACACTTGGGTATTTGCCTGTTAGCTGCCCTTCTTACAGATTAGGAGCACCCTGAGAGTAGGACCTTGGCAAATGCTGGTGATCACTGTGTCCCTGTTGTGGGTGTCACCTGTTTGTTGAATGAGAACTAAGTAGACTTCCTTAGATTTCCTTCTCAGCACTGTCTGATTGGCAGTACACTTCCACAGTGCCTGGCACCTGGAGTATGGAGCTGTAGAAGCAGCATGGACTCCTTGCAGCACACAGCACTATCCTTGGGGTCTGGTCAGCAGCCATGCCTCAGACTTGGAAACTGCAGAACCATTTTTGTAGAGACGTGGAGGGGGAAGAAAGCTTAAGATGGAGTTTGAGCTTTTAAGATGTGAGCTCATGTAGCTTTATTGTCCTTGCAGCCTTACCAAGCCTCTCCTCCCTCTGGTCAGAGCTTTTTGTCTTCCTTGCCCTTTTCCTTGCCACCTCTCCTCCCCTTTACCTTGTTTCATAGCTATAGCATCACTAATGAAAACACACCGTGTTTTCTAGGATTCCTGGCCGGCTGAATGACAGGAGGACTCCCTTGGGTGAACTGAACTGGATCTTCACAGCAATCACAGACACCATCGCATGGAATGTACTTCCCCGGGGTGAGACTGTGGCCCAACGCTTGGCGGGGGGAGCTATAGCCTCTGGGGCACAGAGAGCCAACTTTTGGACATGAGAGAAGTCAAATAGGATCAATAAGTCCTTCTCTAGCAAGCAAGACTGGCAGGAGAGGGACTGAAAAGCAGAAGGCCAGGGCTGAAGGAGGTGTCTGTGAGAGTGAAGGGTGTTACCACGGGTCAGGCTTAGGACAGTGACGTGTGGTGAGCTCCAGCCTGCGTGTACTCTGGTCATCAGCAAATTCTTTTCCAGGCAGGCTCAGGGCTTATCTTTCTTCATAATCATTCACACTGTTCATATTTGTTAAAATCAGAATTGCTATTACGAGCAAGACTTGTTTGTAATTTTTGTTCATTTATTGGTTGGTTTTGGTGTTTGTTCATATGTATGTGTATGAGTGTACATGTATGTGTGCATGTGTACATACATGCATGCATTTATGTGCGTATGCATGTGCTTGTATATATGCATGTGTGTGTGTACATGTATGCAGGCATGTGTGTTTAAGTGTGTATGAGTGTACATGTGTATATTTGCGTACTTGTGTGTATGCATGCATATATGTGCATGCAGATTAGTCCCAAATATAACTTGTTTGTAATAATTTTTAATAGAAGTAAATTTGTGTATTTGGCTTTACATGCTGGACGTGTGCCACTGAAAACTCCTTTTTATCTTTTATCTGCCCTCAGATCTCTTCCAAAAGCTCTTCAGACAGGACCTGTTGGTGGCTAGTCTGTTTCGGAATTTTTTATTAGCAGAAAGGATCATGAGGTCATATAACTGCACTCCAGTCAGCAGCCCGCGACTCCCTCCAACTTACATGCACGCGATGTGGTGAGTGTCTCAGGTGAAATTCTCTAAGTAGTGCACTTGCCCCCCATTTCCACAGTAGTACTTGAAGTCTGTAGGAAGGCCCCAAGTGGTATTAGCAAGTAAAGTTAAATACAGTGGTCCCAAAGATCACCATGAATAGGAAACCAGGGTCTCCTTCAGGAGGGCGGGAGCCTCAGAACCTTTCTAGACTGGACAGAACCTGCAGCCTCTGGAGGCTGCACAGTTCTATAACCCCAGAAGACAGCATTTTGCAAAAGAGGCATCTAGCCTTGAAGAGACCAGGAATGAGAAAAGAAATTGCCATCTGAATTTATGAAGCACATCCAAGATTGCTCAATAGAATTAAACTGTAGGCTCATGACCAATTAGTTTTTATGCATATTTCTCACACACACTCACTCATGAGTGTAGTCTTTTATGACTATTCATTATAATTTTCTTCTATTGCTGAGCTGCTGATACTTAAACCACTAATAATAGTAGTAACAATAATAACAATGTAATTTATTTTTAGTCTAGACATATTTGAATACATTTCATTTCTTTCTGTTCTGTTGCTCTCCTAATACAAGCAGAATTTAAGCAAATTCTAAAATGGAATAACAAAGGAAAAATGAGTCTTAGTTCTGTCCATCAGTGGGAGAAAGCCTAATAGAAATATTTTAAAAGAGCAATTTAACATGTTTAGCCTAAAAATCTTTGTACAGTATATTTTCATAGTTGGAATTATTTTGGCTAGTGTTTTTTTTGTTTGTTTGTTTTTACATTTATACATGACCACTTTCCCCCAGCACTGGAAACTCAGAGAAGCAAGGAGTTTATAAACTCAGTACTCGTCTTACACTCCAGAAAAATTTATATGAAATAGATCAGAATACATTGTACCCAGCATAGCACTTAGACTGTAAACAGAAAAAGTTAAAACATGGACAATCTGTATTCTTTTTAAAATTTATAGTACAAAACATTGATATAGAGAAATGAAGAGATTGAAGTAGACTACTACAGAAGAATCAGCTACGCAGCCATTAAAATAATGTGTAAATAAAACCACAAGTCATTTCCCACTACTTCATGAATAATGGAACTGGAAGAGAGATAAGTTGTTTGAAAAGCCTTTTCAATATGTAGAATAAATAATTAGAATAAACATTTTAGAATACTTAGAACGTATTTTGGAAAAGTATATCCTCAAAGCCGCCTTATTCCATTGAGAAAAGTAATGCTTTAAATCCTGTCTGTTTCTTCTGAGACAGGTTTTTATTAAAAATTTATTATAGACTGGTGCAGTGGTTCATGCCTATAATCCCAGCACTTTGGGAGGCCAAGGTGGGAGGATTGCTTGAGTCCAGGGGTTTGAGACCATAGACAACATAGCAAGACTTTGTCTCTGCAAAAATACTTAAAAACTAGCTGTGGGTAGTGGTGTGCGAAGGCTGAGACAGAAGGAGCCCAGGAGTTTGAAGTTCCAGTGAGCTGCACTCATGCCACTGCACTCCAGCCTGGGTGACAGAGTAAGACCACAACTCCAGGAAAAAAAAAAGGAAAAAATATTACAAAAAGAGAAAGAAAAATAGGAAAGAATGAGCTGATGGGATCAGTGCTGCGTCTGGTCACTGATCAGAAACGAGTTCAGTGCTAAGAACTAGGCCTTGCAGGGCTCCTGGGCCTTGAGATTTCTACAAATTTCCTTCACCTGATGACCCCAGAAATAAGTCCAGGGAAACATTTTTCCTTTTAGTGTATATTTTCTCTGAGTGTACAAACACCTCCTATGTGATATGCTCAGCTACATAGAGGTAAAAAGAAAAAGTTGTATTGCACTGGAGTAGATAGTAAAAGACCAGAGCCAGAACAAAGAACACAAAGGTCCACTAGGAGGGCAAGCAGCACGGAAATGGACATACTGGGGAAGGAAACATGTGGGCAAGGCTGATGCAGAATGATGGTATCCTGTTCCTCATCATTCTGGAGATTTCTCTCTAGTGTTGGCCTCTTAGACTCCTTCTGAGCTCTGAGATGTGTATGAGTGCTGTTTTATGTCAGGTCCAAGTTCAGGCCTAGCACCAGCCTCTCACAGCCCTTCCCAGCCCTGCCGGTGATACCTTTTCCTGCCAGCCAGAAGCCTGGGAAGAAAGCCCTCTGTCCTGCAGATTTCACTCCCTTCGAGTCTCATGAAGCGCAAAGCTTCACTTTAGTTATTTGTTGTGCTAGAGAAACATGAGATAATAGCGATCCACAGAAGCCCAGAAAACCTGGAGACAGCATCACATGGGTATTCCAAGGCATCTGGACTTGCTAACAGTCATGAGTAGATACTCAGGTTTTTCTCCTTCCTGATTCCGGCCTTCCTGAGCACATCAGGGACTCCTCTTGGGCTAATGTGCACCTTGAAGACTGAAGTTTAATTTAGTGATTTGGCCTTTGTGGTCCACCATCCAGCAGAGCCCTGTCTGTAGCTTCATATCCTCCCTCTTCCCTTTTGGGTAAACTCTGGTTGTTGCAGGGCAAAGTACTGTGTGGGAAGCAGACACTGAGTTGGTGTCATTGAGCAGCTAGAGAGAGAGGGCAGGTCCTGGGTCACCTGTGGGGGGTGCAGAGAGATGTTGGCTCCAACACAGTCTCAGTGGCTTGCCTTAGCCAACCCTGGGGAACTCTGAAGATAGGATGGGAGGTGAACAGGACCACCTGTGCCCCTTCATTGACTACTTTTCAGACACAGGTCACCTAGAAAAGGGCCTAACTGCTGTGAGCTGTCTGCTTGTGGTGCCCCCTAGCAGCCAGGACAAGAAAACCTTTATCCTGAAGGGAAATCCTGGCCCCTCACAAGCAGGTCAGTTTTTTGCTGTAAGAGAAAAATCTCACCTGCCTCCCTGTGGTGCTGCTGCTACCCACAAACTTCATTTTAGTGGGGCCTTCCAGAGATAGGAAGAATTTCTCCTCTGTAGGTGTTCGACTTTCTGGCTCCCACCCAGCCGGTTTCCAAGAAACACATTTGCTTTCCTCATCCGAAAAAATGACTCTTTCCAGTTGGTGTTGTAGAACTTGTCACCAGGCCCTGCTGAGCTCTGCGGTTGACTTCAGGGCTGGCCTGGAATAAAGTGGCCAGCAGCACGTGGCCCCCAGCACAGCCACTGCCAATGGCCAGGCCGCCCAAACCATCCCAAGTCAGTGGAGTGAATTTTGTTCATGTGTAGCCCCAGCAGGGACCCCTCAGTTCCTAGGCAGGGTGGAAGGATGCCTACCCTCCTGTGTGCCACTCACCCTGCAGGAAGATGGGGGGAGCAGGGAGGTACCCCCACCCTGACCTTCTCTTGCACACTTGCGTAATTCTGCTGGGCTTCATTATTTTCTAATTATGGGGTTTGATGGACATTTCAGATGAAGAATGAAAACAAAGAAAGCCAAGCACAAGTGAAGGGTAGTGCTTCTCCAGGGAGGTGGACAGGGCGGGCTTCCCTGCACTCTGTCACCCCTAGGCACGCCTGTGGGCTCCACCAGCTGTACCATTCTGGTGCTGATGACCAGAGGCGGCTTTGGGATTTTACCTTCACATGACAGAATGAATATCCTGTGCTTTGGATTTGTTTTCCTTTTTCTTTTTTAAACTCACACCTTGAACATGCATCTGCGTTCTAGTTCTGGCAATTGACGTGAACGTGAGGAGACCATTTAGTCAGCTCCTCAGCCTCACGGGAAGGCAGAGTTAGAATGTGAATGACTCATAGCAAACCTGGGCTTTGTGGAAGAACAGTGAATTTGAAAGCCCAGGGGAGCAGATGTGCTGAATTGAAAAAGATTTGTGCTGAAAGAAAACAATCTAATTCACAGATTACATACGTATTGCAGGCTTTTTTCTGATGGACATATTGCTCTGTTTAGTAATAGGAAATCCCTCCAAGCACCACAAAGTGGAAAATAGAAATTTTAGAGTCTGAAAAAGAATTAAGGAGGGCATTAGTTATCTGTTGCTGTGTAACAATGTTAACAAAAACTTGGGGGCTTAGAACAGCATATAGCATGATGCCTGTTCCTGTGGTCAGGTGTCTAGGCGGGCTTGGCCACGTCTTCTACACAGGGTCCACCAGGCTAAAGACTGCCTTCACAGCTGGAGACCACCCACCATCTCCACCAGGCAGGGTCCTCCAACATGGCCCCCAGTGTCCTCAGAGATAGTAAGGGAGCCGGGCACTGCAGCTTCACATAAGTCATATCTGCCTTGTCACAGATAGTGAGTCACCTTTGCTGTATTCTAGTGGTCAGAAGCAAGTTACAGGTCCCACCAGCACTCCCCAGGGAGGGGACCACACCAGGGGGCAGGGGCCCAGGGTGCCTCTTCAGAGTCTGCTCATCTCAGACACATCTTATGAGTGTCAGGTGCTGGTGAGCTGCACTGGAGGTGGACCACTGGGAAGGCTGTGGCAACTGGTGAGCCATGTGGGAATGCAGTGAGGGCAAGAAGAAAGTCACTGGGCCCAGGAAGCGACCTGCCGCAGCTTCCCTGGGGCACACCAGTTACCGCAAATAACCAAAGGTGGTAATATAAAAACAGTAATTCCAACAACTTGTTTATCAAGTTCCTGCTATATGTCAGGCATGTTCTAAATCTATATATGCATTAAGCCATTTCCCCCTCACAGCAATGCTGCAGTAAACATATTATTGCTATAAGGATTAATGTGCAGATTTTACTGATAAGAAACTGAGGCATGACAAGCTTAGTGAATAGCAACCCCAGGCTGTGGCCTCCATAGTATAGCAGCAGACTGTTCGTGCTGACTCATCAACATATATGATGAGTCATAATATGTACGCACATGATATCCAGGCTTAACCATACTTTCAGACACATTTCTGGGTCAAGAGTGCACCCAGGCATACGTGATATTTAACCAGGAGCAAAGCAGATGGCTCATCACCTCGTTACATGTGGCCACTGTGCTGGTGGATCACAGTGTTGTCAGGATAAGGAAGCTTCCTCGGCATCCAGGAACGAGTCT